AAAACGGAGATCCAATTTAAAATATTTGAGTCCCATGGTTCGTATAGAGAGTACACCATCACTGACCGCATTCCATCACCAACACACAGGTCATATATTGTACCGTTCGTCGACCAGTAACGCAGCATCACACAAGTAAACGTCTTTCCATGGGTATCGCACTTCATTACACCAATATGATGCACAGCGCAAGTTTCCTGATAAGTTTACACTGAAGAATCGGCCTCACGCTATGGCAGACCTTACTCCACATACGCGTACCACATACGCATACCACTTTACAGTGAAGAGTCTGCCACACACAGCGGCAGACCTTATACATACACACACACATACACACACACATACACACACACACACACACACACACACACACACACACACACACACACACACACACACACGGCCTCCAGTGACTGCGTCCTTGAGGTTCAGGACTATCCTTGGACAAGTCCTCTGTCTCTTTCTGCCTCAACCTGGTCAAGGCTGTTCAATTGAACGCTTTATGCCTGTTGCTTGTTATGTTTAGATTTAACACGTGCCTGATATGGAGGGTGTCACCTAAAAAAGAGGTACCAACACTCTAGAGGATGTCACCTGGAGATAGGCACTCTGTAGAGCGTGCCACCTGAACAGAGGCACCTACACAGTTGTTTCGTAGTCTACACAGACGACATCGCCAGACGGGGCGCGTTGTCACCAAGATTCTTTTTCCGGGGGCAGCAAAAGATCGTGCGTGGCGCTCTTGATACCATGACTGTTATTCTCCACTACCGCTGTTGCCACTGCTTTTACCGCCAGCGTCCGCCGCCGGTGAATTACTACAGCAACTAACAATGCCATGAGAGACATTAGGAGAATAACTCCTGCAACTAAATATACCCAAGGCAAGGCGGCAAGGAAGCCGCAAGCTGCTGCTCCTTCGTCCATGCCTGATGGACAGTGACTGTCGCCATCACACCAGAGCTCTACAGGAAGACACGCTTGAATTTCTGGGCAGCGGTGAGGACACATGTCAGCGCCGGCAGGAGATAGGGGCGCCGTTTCCAGCGGCCGCCACACTCCCACGTAAGTCACTAAGAATGCGCCAGTGTAGTTACCTACATATTCAACCAGAAGGTCTCGCGTCTCCCTCTGTCTCTCTCCTGGGTGTCGACCGTGCTGCTGCGGGTGGTGGTGGTGAGTGGTTTTTACACTATCATTATGCCTAGAGTTCCTGTTATGATGTTCTATCAGAGGCATATCAAAACTCCGCCAACCACTGCTGAACACGTGTGTTGAGGCATGAGGTGGCTCGGGGCATATTGAGGCTAGAGGAGCCACACTCTCCGCCGCGTACACATTAATACGTGATGACACACTACAGCTTGTTTCCGTAGCTCGATGTCCCTGAACCCGAAGGAAGAGGAAAGAGCCGTCGTTGGCAGTGACGAGGCGCGGTAGGCTGGAACAATAATTACCTCGACCAGACCCTACCGTAAAATTGCCATGACGACCAGAAAGTTTCCTCGTTCTCTCGTCGCACTCTACACCGACATCGAAAATGGTGTACTCACCTTCAAAGAAGAAATCTGTGTAGTCGTGAGCAGCTGTCATGTACGGTACACTAAGCACAAGCTTTATCTTATTGGTATAGGAGACTAGGGAAAAGGGGCGAGTGTGGTATGTATTACAGAGACAAGCGCGGGTGAGTGGAACGCCCTCCCATGGCTCTTCTGTTACCCAGATGGCTGGTTCGCGAGCAGCTCCGCCGTGAGAACACTCGTAACGTAGCGACGACTGGCGAAACACAGTGGTGCACAGAGGTCCCATGCGAGAACGAATGATGCGCAGTGCAATACGCTGGTATGGCTCTGCCAAAAATGTGTATACACATTTCAGCCGTCGTGACCCTCCGCGTCCAAATAAGAAGACATCTCGCGGTGAGGCAAAGAGTCCGTCAGGTCTGAGTGTGAAAGTACGGTCACACACACCGCCGTCAGGCGTAGCTGAGCCCCACTGACGCTTGTCTACAAACTCATAGCGAGCTAAGAACTCCACGTGAGCTGGTGCAGTGCCGGCAGCATATCGCAGAGACAGTGTTAATGCCGATGACTTGGACACATAACTCTCAGCCGGAGAGCAAGGAGCAGCATGAGGCCCTGGAGCGTGAACGCCGCTACATACTCGTGGCAGACGCTCTGGGCGGCAGAACTTACCAAGGCGCGTCGGGGTACTAGTATTGTCCACCTGCCCCGACAGATTATTACTCTGCTGAAATAAATCGAAACCATAGATATGTTCTGGAATATGGGAACCTGTTGGGTCTCCGTCAAGGATGGTAAGTGTGTTGGAACAATGGGCTGGGGGAGGCATCTCTGCATGTACTACGTGGCGGTAATGGACGAAATATAGCCACACCACCTCCGAGGACGCAGCCAGCAGCCGCCAGGTGCAGGTGGTATTAGGCAAGAGAGAGTGAGCTGGCGCCTGAAGGTAGCCACTCCTCTGCCCACGGCTGCTCACCATGTAATCACAGGTGCCACCGCGACGCACGTAGGCCGTCGATTCCCGGTCCACAAACTCGACCTCAACATCCAGTTCGAAGCCGAAAGTACGCCGACGCGGCGAGTCCTGGAAAGGAAAATCGAAGGGCGAAGCATGGAAGACTAAGAAGAGGTCGGGCCCGCTGGAGGTGATGCCTGACAGAGGCGCCCCGCCCTTACACAGTGTGGCGAGCACGGCCGCTCTCGTTGAACTACCGTCGAAGGCCACTAGATAGTCGTGTAGCACATGGCACGCAGAGCCAACCCGCATCTGGCGCTCTCGTGAGAGATGCGGCGCGTTACGGTCTTTGATATATATAAGATGTGGGTTACGCTGGTAAATGCGAATTAGGGGCAGTTTGCCATCTGGCACGCGTGTTTGCCGCACGTGGTAATGGCACGTCAGATTGCGTGGGTACAGCCCTGGGTAGTTAGGCGACTGTATCTTGCAATTTTTCTTGTCGCAATTTTCAAAGTTCTTGTCGCAGAAGGAGTTTGGGATGTCCTCCCCACGGTAGCTAGGATTGTAAGGGGCACCGTACCTTAGCACTGCGCGCTCCTTCCGAAAGAAACGATAAGAGATCCGCAACATGATGGATTCCTGCGGTGAGAAGGCCGCCGGATTAGCCTGCGGATCTTCTTCCAGGCGGTTGAAAACTCTTAGCATGACCGTGACGGCGGAAGTCTCTGAATAGTAGACGTTGTGGCCCCAAGAGGCGCCGCACCAGTATCCAGCGTTCAGTGGACGACTCAGCTCCTCTATCTGCATGTAACCATCTGGGCAGCCAGCCACCGTGTGCGACACGAATCTGCGGGAAATAGTAAAGTTAGCTGTGCTGTGACTGGCCTGATTACACATGGTGGTCGGGGCTAGTTTATTTCCTTACTCCGCGCGCCACGTAGGTTAACCTGTGCTTTAAAGGGATGAACAAGACTTCTGTAAGCTAAAAGAGAAATAGTTTGACTATCATGTGCTTAACTCTTAAATGAGCCCACATGTTGTGTGAGAGGGATTATCAGTAACTATCATTTAAGCTCTTAAATTATTATTATTATTATTAGATAAGTTTTTCTGCCAGTTAAAGGTATACAGGAATTTCTGCACATTGGTAGACAGGGATTTCTGCAACTTAAGGGGTAGACAAGATTTTGTGCATATTAAGGGGTTATAAGGATTTCTGCAAAATAAGGGGTAGATAATCCGCAAGTTATGGAACAGAAATGGTTTTCTGCGAATCATGGCTTGGATATTTCTAAAGGTTTGTCAAACAACAGGACAAGTGCCTCCCTACTAGTGTTCAGATATTACTAGATGTCTGCATGTGGTTACTTGCAGGTTACAGGACAGAAGATTATTTTCAGATTAAACGCAAACCTTAATATACATATTACAAAGATGAAATGAAAATGTGCAAAGTTAAGAATTAGGTATAGCGGATTACAAATAACAGAGTAGACTTGGTTATCTGCAAAACAGTGGTTAGACATGGTTATAAGATAATTTGATAATTACAAATTGGGAACAAAAGTTAAAAAGCCCAATTTGCATCTATAAAGTCTATATTTATTTAGTACAATCATTCTCATTAATCGTATTAGTATTACAGGTTTGAAGCCGGTGAGAAGAGGCATTTTTAGTTACCGTACGTGTACGTTGGGACATACACATCCAAATAACAACGAGAATCAACCACTCAGGAAAACACTCCAGCCCGATAAGTTTGAAGCCGACCAGAAAAGGCATTCCCTACTTAAGGAATGCACTAAATTTCAAGATGTTCATCTAGGTTGGTACACAAGGTTAGCTTAGGTAAGGCTTGTCAAGAAGCAGGACAAGTGTTTCTTGACGCGTGTCTTAGTCATATGATGACCCGCCGCTGAAGATTTAGGTCATTTAACCGAGGCCTTCCGCTGGCTTACCGGTTCACCCCATAAAAAATTATGGCTATGAATATAACCATTATTACACTACACACAGAATAATCTTATAAGACATCATCCTTCTCATAAGATGCATTACCTCTTAATGATTTAAGCCGCTCAATTGAGGTATGGTCAAGATATTTTACCCTAAATAATACCACACCTTTTCGCTAATCAAATTAACACGAAACTCCAATGACATTCTCAATCCTCCTCTACGAAGGAAATACTAGTGGTGAAACCCGTGGTGAATGGATGAAGCAGATCAGAAAATACTTTTAGTTATTATGTGGTAACGAGACTGGGAATAGGCTGTGAAACATTGATCTTGTTAGGTAAGAGGACACAGGTGCAGCTAATGGGACATGCTGTGTTTGTAACGGCTTTGTCAAGCCTTTACAAAGCTCCTGGAGAGCGAAACGTTGCCAAAATAAATGTCGCATTAGTGGCGTAAGTGTTCTTTTACCTAACATATTGTGGGTAATTCTACCAACATTATTACAACATTAATCACAGTTCACCTACACATGTGAATACTTACATAAACTTTCCACTAGTTACAATACACCGGTACTGAAAGCTTGAAGCCGATCGCATAAGGCGTTAGGAATTATAAACAAATACTTAGAAGGACGAAAAGAGAAATTTAGTTTATAATATACAGTAAAATATGATATAGAGCTTACTGAACTCGAGTAAATTAAAATGCCATAAAAATGTGAGTTTCTGATATTTCTCAGTTACATTTTCTCAGTTACATTATTTTCAAAATTATCAGCATAGTAAAGGTATTTGAATCGCGTTTTAAAAGAAATCCCAATTTAATAAAATTTCTTGAAAATAACTGGCAAATTGGTACTTACACAGCATTAATTCAATGCAAAAATTATTACAAAGATACACTGACGTTTACGGTGTAAAACTATTCAATAAATGCATGGAAACTAGTTTGCATAAATAAATGAAACTGACGCAGCTCAGAGTGAATGTCACATTTTCTTTTAATAAAGCTTATCATCACTGAAAGATTGAAGACTATCTCCTTAAGGGAGGGTCCTTGATGCAGGTGAGGGGCTCTTGATCTAGGGAATTGGATCTGCGCTCCAGTTCCCTGAACTGAACCTGAATGCCTTCCATCCTTCTCCCCTCCCCATAGGTGCTGTATAATCCCTACTGGTTTAGCGGTCTCGATGTTAATAATAATAATAATAACAATTGAAGCCTATCAAAAATGTCATTTTTCCAGTTACTGTTCCATATCCATCGATTCTAAAGTATTTTTAGCCGAGTTGGTAAACCACACAAACTAGAGATACCAGAAGATATTCTCTTCGTAAGATGCATCAGCCATTAAAGACTGATGCTCAATATTAATTAAAAAAAATGAACTGGAAAAATCCACTGTATCTTACACACAAAATTAGCAGATGTTACTCTACACACTCTGCAATACTCTCCACCTTCGTCTAAATAAGGCACACTAGTTAGAACACACCAGTTAGGACACTCTAGTGCTGCATAATGGAAGAGAAACAGAAGAGGCAAAAAGAATTTAAGGTTATCGGTTCCATTTTAAAAGCTTGGAATGTACTATATAAAGTTAATCATACGACAGCTGCACATGAAAATAGTTCCACCAACTATTTCCCATATATAGTAAACAAGCATTGTAAACTTGAAGCCAGTCGGGTGAGACATTTTAAAATTATAAATGAAAGCATAGAGGAAAAACAAAATCATGCAACCACATAATGGTACCAATTCAGGGATACCATATAATAGGAAGTTAGCTTTAAGCTATAAATGTAGCTTGTAACATCATATATTAGTAAAGTTGTATTTACTTGTTGGGGTTTATAGGTCCTCCTAGTCTCCCGGGAAGAAAGATTTCCAAAATCTGGACTATAATTTGTTCCATTTGGGAATGAAAACGAGAACGAGTAGTTCCTATTGAATCGGTTAGATTCCCCTTACATAAACCTCTTCTGAGTTGAAGGCTCAAATACCCAGCATCTGGGCCAGTGACTGGCTTCTCACAACATCCATAGATTATCCCAAGTGCGGGGAAAAAAGAGGATGAAACAGATGAACATCGCTCCCTGAGCCGACGTGCTCGGCGGGTTTGTTATGAGGCGGAGAAGCATCTCAAGGAGAATGGGGGAAATTTATCACAGATTCTCACGGCAGAGTAACACGTCCGCATACTACCAATGCTTGCAGAGATATCTCACGTGTTGCTCTGGATAATAATAATAATAATAATAATAATAATAATAATAATATTATTATTATTATTATTATTATAATCATTATGAGAGGTGTTAAATTCGTGTGAGTATTCATAACAAGGCCGATGCTTCCTACCTGCAGTCAGTTAATTGTCGGACTATTGCGGGAGAAGCACTTGTCACCTCCAGTTTCTTGCTTATTTTTTAGTTAGAATTTTATGTAGTGAAAGCATGGGAAGCAAACAGGCTTGATCCAGGAAAAAGAGGACTAGTCACATTTCTTAGATCTCCCTAGTCTGGGCCAGTAGGCCTGTTGCAGTGATCCTCCATTTTTACGCTCTTTTAAGAGCCTCTCTTCAGCTTTCAGGAACCTCCCTTGAAGGATCTTTGACTACTGCTGTTGTTTTATTTTATTTTCTATTAAGCTAAATGGACATAATATATGCTAGAAACAGAGCTAAATGTAAAACCTAAAACATTCACATTTAGACGTAAGTACTAGTGACAGTCAGATTTAGATATGAACACTAAATAGTCAGAGCTAGATGTGGCCGCTAATAATAGAGGTGGATATAATTGCTTGCAATAAGTGCTAGTGATAGAGCTAGATATAAACACTAGAGATAGGGCTAGCTATAAATGCTAGAGATAGTCATAGCTGGGTATACAGCAAGCACAAGTAACACTCGGAGCTAGATATTCCGGTAAATATTAGCGGCAGAATTAAACCAGCAAATGCTAGGAAACAAAGTTAGATCTGAGTGCTAGAGACAGTCAGAGCAAACTGGCGTGACAGACGCGTTACTTCAGAGCCTTTGATGATAGCGAATCAGCTTTAAGTCGTGTATTCAAGATTGTAAAACCAACGTTTAAAGCAAAAATAATGAATTAAAGGAGTTCAGGCTTGGTACCCTAAGTGTTGAAAATAGTTCATGAGGTACCAGGACCCACTAAATGAGAAAAAGATCGAAGCTTCAAACAGGTTATAATGAAGCATTAATGGCTAGTGGCTATGAAGTTGTCGAAATACGTAGAGTGCGTACATATATTTGTAACTTGCATGCATCATATCTAAAGCCCTATCATAAAGGAACAGTGTGGAAAAAACTCCTGTTGACGAAATTCTTGACTTTGAAGAATGGAAATAACACTTGTTTGTCGTACCAGATGATTTATGACCTTGTTGCAACCTTGTTCCAGTTCTTGTCCGAACTATTGAGACTAAGGAATGATATTAATCGTCACTGTTTGCCTTAACTATCCTTGATTCCTTTATTGGATAATGGATCCGAGGTCACAGGCGCCTCATTAAAGCATTTGTGCCTTAAGTTGCTGAGACAGTATATCATCCAGCAAGCACTGGTCTTGCAGACCATACTATCGGATAAAACTTGATGTTGCAAACTATGACTGACCCTGAATGTACCATCTGAGATTATGCAATATCACAAATGCTGAATGCTTCACATTGTACACCACAGTAATGATAAGCACTTACAATGTGAGATTCTGTTCTCTGTTCCACAGATGAGCGATAACTCTGATGGTCTCAGTGTGAATAGGAATCACAGCTCTCGGTTTACCATTCAGAGAGAAAGGGGATTTCAAAATGGGTACTCATACCTTCACGAATTATTGCAATGCAATCGTTAATGAAAGCAAAGCGGAGCCAGTCTGCAATGTTATGGTAAAGTACCACAAGTAGGAACCTGGAATGTCGAAGTTCATTCATAAATTTATCGGTTCTCACAGAGTTCGCAGTTTCGTGAAAATAAGTTCGAAGTGCGAGATATTGCTAGCAGGACTAACAAGGAAGCTCACTTGCATTGCTACTACAACTACTTGTGTTGAGAGCAGAAGGCAGTTTTCCTGTCCAACTCCGTTATGATCATCGTCTTAGACAAAGAGTGTTTATGTGTGACTATACCCTGTCCCTGACACTTGAGAGGTATACCGAGTAAAGTAATAGGTATCAGTGCCCATGGGCTCTATAACTTTTGTGTTTTAGAAATCGTTGCATATTAACCATTGATTACTAATATATTCAAATTTTATGTATTCACCTTGAATTTTAGCTTTAGGAATAAGCCAGTTTGTTTTAGTTTTTCGTGAATTTGCATACAGAAGACGTAGTGCAATACAACCTATCCTTTGTTGTACATGTATCAAACTATGAGAAAGCATATTCACCACAATGTTTTTAACAGGATGACTGAATTCAAGTCCCTCGACTCTGTACTTCAGGCCATTTTCTGCGGAAAGCTCAAGTACCAGCGGGGGATGGAGGCAAGGAGACTCCTCCGAATTGAAATAACTCTTATGTTTCCCTCCTCGTTCACAGTCATCGCATAGGAGATAGAGAAAGATGGCCATTTCAAGTACATCTCCACACAAGCCTGTGTTTTTTTGGGCCTTCGAAGTACAGTTTTTTCTATTGCAGTTTTTTACTTCAACGTCATTTTGACATGGAATGTGAAGTCAGTGCCAAATGACAAAATACATTATTGAACCCGTTAATGTGAATGTCATGTTGAGACGCCACGAATAGTGGCCCTGTAACTGAAAGAATACCTACAGTAGTTTTCTTAATCTCTCACCTTATGCCAGACTTCAGCAGTGATATCTGTCTTTCGTGGCCAAGTAGGCCACGCTCCATTAATTCCCCATGCCAGATCCTTGTATCATCATCTAGACCTCAGCACTCTCCTTGACTCCTCTTATCTTGGCTTGAGGCACTCGCCGCATCAAGCCCTTGATCCTATTAAGGGACCTCGGAAACGTCCATAGCCTTAGTGGGAACCTATTAGTAAAATTTATGCTTTATTCGACACAAGCTTCAGAAGACTAACGCACCAAGAAAATAAGAAAGGTCTTGCGAAGCTAATCAATTGCCTCCTCTTTATGTTATTTCATTTTTACTGGTTCAGCTCACGTGCCTCGGTGTAAGGGGATCAAACCTAGAACTCAGCTTACACACTGAGTGTTCTGGGTTTGATCCCCTTACACCTGCTGCCTCTTTTTGCCTAGCAGTAAATTTGTACCTGGGCTTTAACAAAGTGGTGAGGGTCGCATCCTGGGGGGTGGTAGTATACCTAAGGTAGGGTTGGACTTTAGAAATGAGCTTAGGTAAGATAACAGCTCCTAGCCTATAAAATTGATTTCCGTAAAAAAAATACGTACGTTAATTACACCTAACCGAACCTAACCTGGAATAACATATAAACCATACCACGGGGGGAGTTTGAACCCGCGGTCAGAGAGTCTCAAAACTCCAGACCGTCGCGTTAGCCACTGGGCCAGCTAGCTTCAGTATTGAAGCTAGCTGGCCCAGTGGCTAACACGACGGTCAGGAGTTTTGAGACTCTCTGACCGCGGGTTCAAACCCTACCCGTGGAATGGCTTGTTTGCAATCGTGTCATTACGATTTCGTGAGTCATGAAATAACACATGTCAGTGTTACATCTTTGCTTGCATATAGAGAGAAATGGAAATACACTTCCTGTTGTATTTACAGGGTAAGCTTTATAAAGAAATGTTACCAGTAGCGTCCGGCAGGAAACAATACATGTCTTGACAATTTTTTTTCGTATTTATAAAAACGAATCGCCATAAGTTTTGCCTCGCTATGTGAATATGTTTGATAGTGATGCCAGAATCTATGCAAAAAATATAGTAATAAAATTGTAAATCTCCCTAAAGGACATCTGGATAAATTTAAAGTGGAGATATAACACTTTGAGCGGCAGAGAGATAACGTCTTAACGGGATGAAAAAGTGGCGCGTGCGCTAGCACACGCTCACACACACACACACACAAACAACACCACACACACATACACACACACACACACACACACACACACACACACAGTAGTCGCCAGTGAAAGCGTGCAAAGCTATGACTCGACCCTTGCAACCACAACTAGGTGAGTACACACACACACACACACACACACACACACACACACAATCATTGAAGGTAATATAAGCTCCTGACAGTAATGCTGGCAGGCAGAACCCTGATAAGTCATGAATATTTATTTCCTCGCTTGCATAGTGTGTTGCGATTCAAACTGACAGCGCTTGTAAGCACGCTGAAAAAGACTGCCCATACTGTGTGTGTGTGTGTGTGTCCCCTTTCCCCTTCTCCCTCCCATCCCTCTCCCTTCCCCCTCCCTCTCGCTCTCTCTCCTTCCCTCTCCCTCCATCCCTGTCTCCCACTCTGCGGCTTGACATTCAATTATAATCCATAATTGACCACTCGTGTCAGGTGTCAAACCTCAAATTGAAAGCTTTCGCAAAACTGTTTCGAAGTCAAGCTCAGTGGCAGTGAATTAAGTGCTTGTGTTAAGTAAGCATTGTATTAAGCGCTTGTGTTAAGTAAGCATTTTATTAAGTGTTTGTGTTAAGTAAGCATTGTATTAAGTGCTTGTGTTAAGTAAGCATTGCATTAAGTGCTTGTGTTAAGTAAGCATTGCATTAAGTGTTTGTGATAAATAAGCACTATATTAAGTGCTTGTGTTAAGTAAGCATTGTATTAAGTGCTTGTGTTAAGTAAACAATGTGTTGAGTGTTTGAGTTTAGTGGGATTTGTGTAAGGTGTGTCGTATTCAGTGGGCACTGCATTAGTTGCTTGTGTTATGAGAACATTATATTAAATGCTTGTTAAGTAAATAGTGTATTACCTGCTCGTGTTAAGTGAACATTGTATTAGGTAATTGTGCCGAGTGGGCATCGCATCATGCACTAGTAGAAGGTAGCATTATTAAATTAGAATTATTGTATTTTTCAAGGTATCAGCCGTTTCCCCACGAAGATAGAGTTAGCTTTGCCTTAAAAAAATTCACCATTATTGATTTAACAGCTGTACTGCCATATAAGCGCACACGTCACAGTTCAAATAATCCTCCAAAGTGCGCTATTCCTACCACTGCTTCCAAGTGCAGGCACCGTACTTCCTATCTTCAGGACTCATGTCCGGCTGATCGGTTTTCCTGAATCCCTTTACAAATGTCACCTTACTCGCATTCCAGCAGCTCGTCAAGCCATGGAAACCACTTATCTCCGCTCAATTCCATCTGACACGCTCACATAAGCCTGTTGGACGCTCACTTCCCCGGCATTCATAACCGCATTTACCACCTCTCTCCAACCCTTGCCGGGACGAACCTAGTCTTTCCTTCCAATCAAGATTTATACATTCTCTTAGTTCTAGACGGCTTCCAAGGTCACCGGCGGCAGTCGTTCCGGTTGGTGGTGCCTTATCGATCAGGCTATTGGTGATAACTGCATACAAATCAATCTATGCAGTTATCACCAAGAATTTAATAATACATTGGACAAATAATAAATTTTAAAACTCTTAATTCTTGGGAAGAAAAGTTTGTTTGTGGGTTGTGTGAAGGACCTGTCTAGTTTGGCCAGCGGGCCTGCTGCAGTGTTCTCTTTCTTATGAGTCGTGCGTCAGGTGTTGCTTTATTGTGGGATGTGATAGTGAGGTGTGGGTTAGACACTTTATATGCCTTCCTTTGATGCATTACTTTTATTGTTCCTTGATAATGTGAGTAGTCACGAAAGCGCTTGGAACTTCTCTATTCTTTCAGTGGTTGTTCTGATATATATATATATATATATATATATATATATATATATAATATATATATATATTATAATATATATGTCGTGGCCGAATAGGCAGAACTTGCGATCTTGGCTTAAATAGCAACGCTCATCTTGCCATAAGGACAAGTCAAAAATTTGTTGTATACAATAATTTCGCCAGAATCGTTCTGAACCTAAACGAAAAAAAATATATTTCACTGTGTTTGTTTAGTATTAAATTACTGTAAACAAATCTAAAATATATTGTAGTTGGGTTAGGCTAAAATAAATTGCTCTTGTTATAACAAGGTTAGGTAAGTTTTCTAAGATTCTATTGGTGCAAAATTAAAATTTTTTACATTAACATTAATGAAAAAAATATATCTTTAAACGTATAAGAGAAATTTTCAGAAAAGAACTTAATTTTAAATGAGTTCTTGCTAATTGACCAGTTTTACATATTCGGCACGACATATATATAATAATATATATATATATATAAAATATATATATATTATATATATATATATATATATATATTACATTCCTAAGGAATTAATAATAATAGTTTTGGAGGACAACGTTTTACACTTGAGGTTTATCACCGTGTTTTGATTTGATAAAGTCTTACACAGTGAATCACTTATGCCAGAAAAAACTGCAGCGTGACTTTGCTCTGATGCAAAGCAAAATATAGATAATCGTTGTGCATAAAACACCACGAGCGCAGTACTGTTTTTTAACCTACAATTACAAACATATAATCCCGTGTCATTTACCTGCCTAGGTTGAATTTGTCGATGCTGAGCTGCACCAGGTCTCCGTACATGTCCCCGGAGGCGATGAAGGTGAGCTGGCAGAAATGAGGCAGTGTCCCCCTGGTCGGTTTGGACACCTGCAGTGTGTATGTGCGCCCACTCGCCCGTAGTACGTCCTGTTACACGCTGTGGAGGATACAAACACATTACACGCTGAAGAGGGCACACTCCTATACGCACTCACACCCAGTGAAGACACACACCAACATAAAGAAGTGTAAATAAGAGTCCAAACGTTATACTGCAACACTTCATATAATTACCAAGGACTCACTAATACTATGTTGATCAGTTCTGATCTTCATATTACAAAATGAATAGATATACATTGGACAACGCACAAAGAAGGACGACAAAATCCACTGTATAATGAATCTTTCGTACAAAGTTAGATTGAGGGACCTGAACCTTCATTCTTTTAAAAGAGTTAGTGTACTGATGACATCCTTCCAAGAAAGAACTCGAAGTATTGGCTTCATGTCGGATAAGTTTGGATAAAGAAAGGATGCTGGAAAATATTGGTCCGGCAATAGAGAGGTCAATGAGTGAAACCATCTGCCAAGTAAGGTCATTGAAGCTTCAACTTTAAGTTAGACAGATACATAAGGAAGAATACTTACATTTGAATAGGATCTCCATAGGATGAATTAGTAGAATAATTGAAGCTTAAACTTTAGGAAGCTTTTAGAATAGGTAAAATATGTATTTGAGTGAAAGGGGCTGGATTCGAAAAGAACCAGCTAAATATGAGCTGGTTAGACCCGCTTATGTTGTTACGTTCTTCTATTACACGTCGAGGAGAAACAGCTGACATGTATCGTGTGAGGAAGAGCAAAGTGAGCTCATGGAAAAGTGTAAAGCAACGATGTGTTCTCTGTAAAGTTGCTGTACCACTTTATTTCTTGTTCATGTGTTCTCTTAACTGTGCTTACTCTGTGTTATACAAGTCTCTGCATTAATGTGACGCTTATACAATAAAATGTTTTGTATGAAAAAATTCTCCATAATTTTATATCATCGATTTGTGAGCGCTCTTAGTGAATGAACTCACGGCATGACTTCTGTAGCGGTGTGACTATTGTGATTTTACACCTCTGGAGAGAGAGGTGGTGTTGCGTGATGCCAGGCATAGTAACTAAGTACCTTGGATTATTTTCTTATAATTCTCATGCCGTAGGCTGGTTTAAGGGTTTAAATATACGCTCACATGGGCCCTGGTATGGGCCTGGCCCTGTTAGAGTGGGGCCAATGTGTGAGGGTAAGATTCTGAAATAATGAGCGCATTTAACAGGAGGCTGAAGCCGACTAAGATAGGGTGGTTATGGCGACTCACTGGTACCTAGCGTAATGTTTTTTTTCCTTCTATGTCCTAACCTTAATTAACTTGTAGTGGTGTACTTGGGTGTTTTGTAAAATGTGAAATGAGGTGAAGACAGATCTTATTTGTATATTTATGGATATTATGTATTTTTATAATAGTGAGATACCTAAAGTTAGTTATTGACCACCTGATTAAAATTATGGGTAGAATTTTGCGAAGCATGGGGGCTTAGGGTGGCTTATTTTGAATTAACTTTATATATACTTCTAGACCAGGTATTATAACCCCTCTCCCTCTTACCTCCATGGTAACTTCGTAACACGCTGGTATTTTATATGGCCTGGAACAATAGGCCTTTTAAAAAATACCCTTCTAATAAAAGCCCAGCTTCCTTTATATCTCATCAATACTGAAACTTTAAAGCCTATCAGAAAAAGCATATTCTTCAGTAACTGCTCTGAATCCATCGATTCCAAGATATCGAACAGTTTCATCAAAATTTCAAATCTTGAGCTAAATAACCTAAACTTTTCAGTATCATGTTTCTAATGGGATACCCAGCGTAAATGTTTTAAAATTGATAAGTTGAGGCAGTCATCGTTATTTAATGGAAATGAATATCACCGTTCATTAATAAAAAAAATAGCATATTGGGACTTATACAGGCCACTAATAACCTCGAATTTTGCATTCTGGAAAATACACAAGGGCTGAAAATTTGAAGCCTATTAGAAGAGGCTTTTTTTTTTTTTTCATGATGGGCACGGATTCCTGAAATTCCAAGTTTTATTAACTTAGAACTTTAATAAGTTTACATGCGCAGAAACTAAGCTTAATGGTTATTATTCTGCCCATAAGATGCACCACCTAATAAATATTAAAGCCATCCATAAGAGGTAAACTCAGTATGTGTAACATGAAGAATTGAGACACTTATACAACATATGGGAATCTCTACTGAAGAAACGTTTCGCCACACAGTGGTTTCATCAGTCCAATGAAAAGCAGGACTGATGAAGCCACTGTGTGCAGAAACGTTTCTTCAATAGAGATTCCCATATGTTGCATAAGTGTCTCAATTTTCTCAACTTGTCGGTTTCCAAAACCAGTCATCACGCATGTGTAACATGATTTAAAGTATTGCACTATTTTACACACAAAACTGTCACCTACACGCTTGGATTTCACTTTCTCTAGAATCGAAATAGTGGGCACCTTGCTTGATTGTTACAAGCTAAGCAGCAGAAGATTTTGAAAGTTATTGGAGCCATTCCAAGGATGAAATCTGATCTACAGCTCTTTCATAGGGCACCTGCCCATGTCAAGTATTCAAAGAATTTTACCCTAGTTACCACATACAAGCTTGGGAAATTTGAAGCCAGTTGGATGAGGTCTTAGTGTGCTATGAGTGAAAATTAAGCTACGAGGCAACCACTAAAGGGTGCTCTACCGAGGGCACCTAATTAACGACGACTGCTGACGTAGGAACATTATTAGCTTGATAAAGTTCCATAATGCGTCATGTTTCATCTGTTCTTTTTTGTATGTGGTTTGTATCTTTACTCTCATACGGAGTTATTGAAGATTTCATTCGCAGAAATGAAATACAGAGGCTTTGAAACCCAGAGGTTCATAACCCGGAGAGATTGTTAACCCAGAGGGTTAACAATTCAGTATAATTCAAGAAAGCCAATCAGTTTGGCTTTCTTGGGTTATGGAGAGAAATGGTATAAAATGTCATTTCTCTCCATTACCCAACCTCATTCTTGGATTATACTGGGTACCTATTTACTGTTAGTGAATAAAAACTGCATGTCCCAACGTCTTGCCCAGAATTAAGCCCGGGTGATATTTAGTCAAAGACAAAAGAAATATTTATTAAACATGGAAGAAAAACAGTAATATTAAAGGACAGTTTTTTTTTTTATAGCAAAACAGGATTCATTACTCAAATAACCCGCACACTGGAAAATGGAACATATGACGACGTTTCGGTCCGACTTGAATCATTAATTAGTCCACATGGTCCAAGTCGGACCAAAGGATCATCGTAAGTTTCATTCTCCTATGTACGGGTTATTTGTGTATTGTTCCAGTCTCCGTATTGTGACTATTCTAAAACTGGATTCTTCGGCAGTGTGCTTCTATTTTATATATGATTGTTATATAATGGAAACAGAAGTTAAGTACAGTTCTCTTTTATATTCCATCACACAGGATGCATTTCAGTGTGGAAATCCGTCAACTTGAGCTAGAAGACTCCCGTACGATGATTAAAATATCGCTAAGTATTGCAATGAGGGTTCAAGAGTAATGGGACCATGGAAGGTTTCGTTTCAGCAGAGCCAGATTTTCCATTATTTAGGAATTACTATTTCTCAGGAGGGACTAACCTATACATAGGAAAAATAGAATTTGTATGATGATAATTCCAGTATCACGGAAATGGATTTCAAAAACTCTTTTATAAGAGTGAAAAGAAAACGGGGAAGGGGAATAGATGGAAATTTGGACTAATTTTACGCCCTAAGAGAAGGTAAGTGATACATGTAGAAACATTGCGGATTCATGGTTCCAAAAACTTTGCGTCATTATGAAACTACAATGAATGACTGAGAATACATTTTAGCACTAGCCTCACGACATCCTGCTTGAACACTAAGATTATTATTATTATTATTATATCAAGGGGAAAGCGCTAAACCCGGAGGATTATACAGCGCCTTGGGGGGGGGGATGTGGAAGGCATTCAGGCTTAATTCAGGGAACTGGAGCACAGATCCAATTCCCTAAATCAAGAGCCCCTCACCAACATCAAGGAACCTTCCTTGAGGGGAGATTGAACACTAAGAAAGAACCATTGCTTCACCTGTAAGTTTATTTAGGTACAGGTACACATGTAGCTGAATGGTTCAGAGAACCGACAAGTTGATAAATTAGACACATGGGTATCTTTATCGATTCAAGGTTGAGGGACTGATTACCTCAGATCCTCCTGTGCTTCACCATTCTCCTTTGTATGGACTGATGAAGCCACTGTGTGGCGAAATGTTTCCTCAATAAAGATACCCAAGTGCTGCATGTGTCTAACTTATCCAGAGGTACACATAAATACAGTTACACAAATTATCATACATAGTAACATATGTGTAAATTACCGAGGATAAAAAATAACTCAGATTTATTTACGTTGGGGTCCTACTAAGCAACAACTAGGAAGCAAAATCGGTAGGGAAGACGGAAAAATTGGAAGAGTAGAGGGAGGTGGGGAGAATGAGAGAGTTGGGAAAGGCGGGGAGTTAAGTGAGAGGTAAGGAATTGAGGGAGAATGAAGGCAGGAAGTTGGAGATGATGGTGGCAGGGTGTTGGAGAGGATGATGGCAGGGTGTTGGAGAGGATGATGGCAAGGTGTTGGAGAGGATGATGGCAGGGTGTTGGAGAGGACGATGGCAGGGTGTTGGAGAGGATGATGGCAAGGTGCTGGAGAGGATGATGGCAAGGTGATGGAGAGGATGATGGCAGAGTGTTGGAGAGGACGATGGCAGGGTGCTGGAGAGGACGATGGCAGGGTGTTGGGAAGGAGGTTAGGGCGAGGGTTGGCCAGACAAAATAACCGAGTTAAAATGGAAACAATATAACCTGTAGGCGACACTGCCCCTCACTCTTGCTGTGTCAACCCCACCCAACCCCCACCCGGCCCCGCCCTGCTCTACCTGCCTACCTCGCCTTGCCCCGCCCTGTTCTACCCCGCCCTACTCAATCCCGCTCTGCCCTGCACTGTCCTATCCCGCCCTGCTTCGTCCTG